TGCGGGGTGCTTCGTGGTGGGAGCCTCCCGTCGAATTCACAGTGCAGTTGTTTAAACTGCGTGGAGGCACCTGCGACCTTCCCATGGGGATGGAGGAAAACAAGCAGCGAAAGGTCTCAATCTCCTCCTGTGGCAAATGTCAGGTGAGCTTCACCCAGGAGCACCTTTTCCCCCTCGGTTTGGGCAGGTTGGAACAAACAGAGCCTCTTGCCTTGCTGCTCTAAAGGGGGCAAAAAAATGTGCCGTGAAGGCGAAGGGGAGCGGCTGGCTCCAAACCACACCGTGCGGTTTGTCCCTGAGCGTGCTTGGAGTTGCCCCGGCTGTGGAGCGGGGAGCAAGGAGGCAGGGGCTGCCTGCGTGAGGCTGCCACCAAAATCAAGGGTGGTGGGTCCTGGAGATGGGCTCTGCCAGCCGTCGTGTTTGGAAAGGGATGGGGGACCCAGACAAACTGTATCCAGCGTTGTGTTAGTCCTGACGAGGGGTCTGGCATGGGTGGAAAAGGGACCAGTGGGCTCCCACGCCGTGTGGGTCTGGGCACTCTGCCGGGGCTGCCAGGGGATGCCGTGGGATGTTTCTGCCCTTCCAAGGAAAGTCCTGAACCAGGTCGGGCCCTCCTCTGGGTGCAGGGGGGAAAAAACAGGCTCTGGAGAGAACCAAATTGTGTCCTTTTAAGGCAATGCAAAGGCTGGGACCGGGGCGATCAGGCTGGGAGGGAGGGATTTGGCACGGGCTGGGCGGTGGTGGGAAGCCCAGGCTGCAGGGCGTTCAGAAAAGAGACTTCCCGGCTGCTGGGATCACACAAACACAGCTCCTTGGTTCCCTGGAGTCAGCACAGGCCCCGCGCCCGGCACCCTCCGCAGCTCTGTCTGTCTGTCTGTCTGTCCTGTGCCGAGAGCTGGGAGCTGGAGCTGGGCCCGAGCGGGGCCAGTGCCTCTGCGCAGCCCTGCCCGCTGTTATAACCAAGTTGAGAACAATTTCCCCTTTTCTGTTGCCTGGCAAAATACTCTTACGCAGGGGAGAGTTCAACTTTGTACTGGGAAGGTGCAGAGATCTCGCCGAGCCTGCGAGCAGAGGGTTTGCAGCACCTCACGCCCCCATCTCTCCGTTCGATGTTCATGCAGCCCCCAGCCCTTCTGTGCTTAGCACCCATCGCCCCCAGTGCCCGCCCGGCAGTGCCGCTGGCTGGGGGGGACTGGAGACCCAGAGCTGGGGCTTCAGCTGCCCGCGGTGACCCCGGGGTTTGGAGCTGATGCAAGGAGAGGGCTCGAGGGCTGCGCCCCTGGGGTGCCCCGGCAGCCCCAGGGCCCCTTCCTCGTAGCTGTGCAGCCGAGCCGAGGGAGGTGATGAGATCCCACGCGTGCTGTGGGGTGGCACAGGGTGTAGTGTGAACATGGTGTTTGGTTTTGGGGACCTTGTCCTGCTGCTTTAGCCGGTCAGGAGTTGGGAAGCACACGGCTGTGCCTGCAGTGGGGAGGGTGGCTTCTGCTGCTTATGGCCTCAAGCTGTGCCAGGGCAGGGTGAGGTTGGCCATGGGGAACAATTCCTTCCCCTTGGGGCTGTCAGGCACGGGAAGGGGCTGCCCAGGGAAGGGGTCGAGTCCCCAGCCCTGGGGGGATTTAACAGCCGGGCAGAGGCGGTGCTGAGGGCCAGGGTTTGGGGGTGGGATGGCAGGGGTAGGGGAGCAGTTGGGCTGGGGGAGCTTAAAGGGCTTTTCCAACCCAAACAATTCTATGATTGTCGCCATGTGGGAGCAGGACAGAGAATTACAGAAGCGTTGATGGAGAGAGGCTTCTGGAGACCTCCCAAGCTGCAGCTTGTGCCCGTTGACCTTTCTTCTATCATAAAACCATAGGTCTTTTCAAACCTAAACGATTCTTTAAGCTCATCAAGCCCAACCGTTCCCCTACCCCTGCAATCCCACCACTAAACCCTGGCCCTAAGCACCTCATCTGCCCAGCTTTTAAATCCCCCCAGGGATGGGGACTCGACCCCTTCCCTGGGTATCACTGGGCACCACCAAAAAGTGTTTTGTTTTGTTGTCTTTGTAGCAGCCCTAGGTTGCTCTTAGCTCCTCCTTAGCCTCCTCTTGGCTGCACTCAGCCAGCCTGCCTCCCTCAGCATCTCCCTGTGGGCCTTTGAATACCTTGAGGATTATGTTGGCCTGGTCTCCAAAAGTATCAAGGTCCCTCTGGGTTGGAGCTCCGCTACTTGCGTTAGCTGCTCGCAGTATTTCGGGGTTATCTGCAAATTTGCAGATCAAGGGGCCTCTTGATCTCATCAGAACACTTTCAGGAAAGAGGCGAGAGAAATAGAAGTGTTTACGTCCTGCGAAGGAGCTGCACGGTGGGTTAGGTTGGTGCTCAGGTGGTTGCCCTGCATGTGAGCTTGTGTCCCTGGGGCTGCTGATTTCCCAGCCTCTGCGATGGTGCCTGCAGCCCTGGAGGAGACCGCGATGCCTGAGTACAGGGGGAAAGTGTGAGCAGTTGGCCAGGTTAATGATGCTATGGGGGACACCGTGCCAGACCCCGCTGTGTTTGGTGGCATCAGGGGTCAGCTCCTGCCCTTTGGGCAACCCTGCTTGTAGCCCTGCCCTGTGGTGGCAGAAATGGAAGAGACATTCAGGGAGGAGAAGCTGGAACCGTTTCCAGCTGGGGTGACAACCTGCACGCTCTCCAGCACCAAGGATCGGTCACCCTGGCCCTGTCGAGGGGTAACAGCAGGGCTGTGATCTAACGAGGTGCCGGCGCTGGGGGCACCGCTGTGAGCACCGTCCCCCATTGTTGTCCCACTTCTTCCCTTTTCTTGGCACAGAAAGGAGCTGTGAGGTCCCGTGGCTTCCAGGATGGGGGGATTTCTGCTGCTCCTGGCTGGCCGGACCAGTGGTCCCTCGGAGGCAGCTGATACTGCTGGGTGCTGTAACGATGGGTCCCGTGGGTGCCCCGAGTTCTGCGAATCCTGCTGGTTACCAGCCCTGTGAATCTGTGCCGCGTCTGCCTCTGCTTTTCCTGCAGGATGCCAAACTGGGGAGGAGGAAAGAAGTGCGGCGTGTGCGAGAAGGCGGTCTACTTCGCCGAGGAGGTGCAATGCGAAGGCAGCAGCTTCCACAAGTCCTGCTTCTTGTGCAGTGAGTACCGGCCCTTCCCTCCCTCCCCCCCCGCTGCCTGGCTCTCTGCCTGCTGCACACCCCATCGTGTCCTGCTTATGGGCCCTGTAAGCCCCCGTCAGGGTTCCCCTACGCACAGCCCTGCTCCGCGAGCTGCGTGGCAGGCTTTCTGCTTTTCTCCAGACTTGGTAGTTAGTTCTGCTTGAGGGAACACAGACCATCCCAGGACACCAGGGGCCGTCCGAGCTGTCAGGGCTGACCTCAGCCAGCACCCACGCGGAGACTGAGTCTGTGCCTGCACCAGGGAAAGGCCAGGCTGAGCCCGCTGGGCTTTCTCCAGGTGTTCAAGATTGCAGCATGAGGCAGGGGCTCTCCAAACAGTGGTGGCAGGAGGTGGCACACCCTGTGCAATGCTCTGAGGTGATGCTAGCTTGGGTCTTCAAAGTGGCTTTGCCCCACTAAAAAGGTGGTTGGGCCCTGGGAAGCGGCATGGGATCTGCCTCTGTGTCCCAGGAGGTAATGGGAAGAAGATGTGGTCCTGTTCTGGCCCTTCTGCCTATCGTGAAGTGCTAAAGCGTCACCTCCAGCCTGCCTGGAAATCTGCTATTCCGGAGGGAGTCTCTGGATTGTGTTTGGACCCAAATGTCACCTCCAGAGAAGAGCAGCAGAACAGGATCTGGCCGTGGATTAACTCAGTGCCGAGGTCTCTTCCTCCGCCTGCTCTGCGGGATCTACCAGTGCTCCTGGGGTCGTGTCGCAGGTCCCCAGACACCCTTCCCTTCCCTTCCCTTCCCTTCCCTTCCCTTCCCTTCCCGCCCCTCTGAGGATGCCAGGGCAGCAGTGCTGGGACAGGCGAGGGGTGGTTACGTTGCTGAGAGCAGCTCCTTAGGCCTGGGGCATCCACATCCAGGGGGGCTGCAGAACTTTTGAGTAGAAAAATGACCACTGTCCTCAGCCTCCATTTTACTGGATTGCTGTCCCCTGCCCTTGAAGACTATCACAGAATCCCAGCCTGGCAGGGTCTGGAAGGGCCCTCGGGAGCTCACCCAGTGCCACCCCCCTGCCCAAGCAGGCTCACCCAGAGCAGGGGGCATAGGACAGCGTCCAGGCGGGGGTTGAAGATCTCCAGAGAAGGAGACTCCACAGCCCCCCTGGGCAGCCTGGGCCAGGGCTCGGGCACCCTCCAAGTCAACAAGTTCTTCCTCACGTTCAACTGGAACCTCTTGTGCTTCAGTTTGTGCCCATGGCCCCTTGTCCTGGTGCTGGGCACCACTGGGAAGAGTCTGGCTCCGTCCTTGTGACCCCCACCCTTGAGATATTTGTAGGTGTTGATGAAATCCCGTCTCAGCCTTCTCTTCTCCAGGCTGAACAAGCCCAGCTCCCTCAGCCTTTCCTCGTAGGGGAGATGCTCCAGTCCCCCCATTGTCCTTGTTGCCCTCCTCTGGACTCTCTCCAGGAGTTCCTCATCCTTCTTGAACCGGAGAGCCCAGAACTATCCCATACCAGAACTAGGGACTCTCAGGTGCTAACAGGAGCGTGCACACTGCCCATGTCCGCTGATGGCTCAGCAGCATATTGCATCTGACATGGAGCAGGACGAGTAGAAGTGCATCTTCAGAGCTGCGCTGGCAGCAGGGTCCCGCTGAGGTTTAACACTTTCTCAGCTGGTCCCTGTGCCCTGATCCCAGTCTCACCATCGCCCAGATGTGATCTTTCCCATAGAGGCAGCAAGCAGAGCAAGGCTCTATAGACAGGCAGATGGCTAGAACCAAGCTCAGTAGAGCTATTCCAGCAGGGAAACACCAGTGTCCTCATAGGGCCTGGGTCCAGCTGGCACAGATACTGGGCACTTCGTGGCCAGCCTGCCCGGACGTGGCGTGCCCAGCTGGGTGCAGATTTTGGGGGGAGAGGCTATGGCTGCGTCCCCGCTCCCTGTGCAGAGCAGCCAGCGTGGCCAGTAGCTCTCGTACCTGGGAATTTTCAGGCTGGAAACCTTGGTTTGGCTTGAGAGGACTAAGAAGGGGTGTTGTCGAGTGGCTTTCCCCGGGGGGCAGGGGTGGCTGTGTCCGTCCTGCGGCCGCTCTCCGCAGCAGGAAGCTGTGTTTCTTCGGCAGCCTCAGATAAGGGGGGGGGATGTTGCCCTCATCCCCCTTCCACCGCTGGCTTTTACCGTGTGAGTCCAGGTCAATGAAGGGCCTCAGTATGGGGACTACGTCCCCATGGCACCACCCCTGCCCCTCAGCACGCAGCTGGGGTGCGTAGGGAACGCTGCTGCCGTGCGATGCTGGCGCCCAGGGCGCGGGGCCGGCTGCCGGGAGGCACGGCATGGGGCAGAAGGCGTTGCTTGGAGAAGGGAATACGTGGCCAAAGCGGGGCAGGAGGTCATCCCCCTCCACCCATGGAAGCGAGTCACCGGGGAGGGGTCCAGAGCCGACTGCAGCCGGGGCTCCCGTCCCCGTGCGTCGCAGACGTGCATGATCCCACCCCGTGCGTACTCCAGCAGTTCTGCCCGTCACCACTGTGGGCTCCCCGGTTCGGGCTGTGGCTTGCGTGCCAGCCCGTGGCCACCTGCTGTGCCCGGGCCCATGCCGCAGGCTGCAGGCGACGCTGAGCTGCACCGAACTCGCGCGTTCTCAGCCTGTTCCCCAGTGCCACGTTTGGGCCTCATCAGGAAGCTTGAAGCCATTATCTTTAGGGGAGAAAAATAAATACTTTGACCTGATCTGCCAAAAAAATAATCAGAAGGGAGCCAAACCTACCACAGTGCATTAGAACTGGAGATTGGCTCAGGGAGTGACTCGGTGATTGACTCGGTGGCGTTGATCCAACTGAGTCAACAGCGCGCGGCAGAAATGGGCTGGAATGAGGCCCTTTGGCCTCTGAAAGTGGCAGCAGCTCTTGCCTAATTGTTTTGTGGAGCAACTCTGCTGCTCTTAGAAAAACAACGGGTCCTTAACTCGATGAGTGCAGCGTGCTGGAATTTCTGCAATGTAGAAATCCGGGAGCTGGGGGCTGATTTCTAGGAAGCAGCCCGGGAAAGAATTTTTCTGCTGCCTCTCGAAGTGTCTGTGGCTCCTGCAGATGAGGGACTGTGAAAGATGCAGATGAGGGACGGTGAAAACTTAGGTTAGAGCCCTAAATCCACCCAGCATGGTGGGAGAGAAAGGCAGATGCCATTGGGATTGTTCACGCCCACCCCTAGGATAAAGCTCTTCAAACCTGCCAGCAAAAGTGTCCCGTTTCCCCTCCTGGGGGGTCTGTCTGAAGCTCCTGGTGAGCTCCGGGGCGACGCAGCGACCACCCCAACACCAGCCCATTCCCTTGGCAGCTACAGGACCAGTTCACCAGAGCCGGTCTTTCCCAACAGGGCTGCGTGCTCCGTCCCAGCTCCTGCTGGGTGGGACAGGGGCGCCCATGGCCAGGAGAGGACCCTGCCAGATCCTCCTTCCAGGGCAGGAGATGGTTCCCTTTCCACCTCCTTCTCCCAGCAGCAGCCACGGCGTTGTCTTCGCTCCCCTCCGTTCCTTTTCCTCCCCTGCCATATTGGTGAAGGCCACGAAACTTTCCTGCTGGCAAAGAGGCCCACGGGCTGCCGGGAGCCTCAATATTTAAGGCACGTCAGCGGGATGGGGGAAGGCTGTGCTGAAGTTGGAACAGGATCTGTTTTGGGGCTGGCTGCCAGCGCTGGGGACTCTGCCCCGGGCAGCTGGATCCTGTGCAGGGGGAGGCAAACACCGGGGAGCGGCGCGGGCTCCGCTTGGGGGCTGCTCGCCTCCCGCTCCGGCTTGCCGGGCAGCGTGTTCCAGGAAGGGCTTGGAAGCCAACGTGGAGGCTGAGATCAGAGCTGGGACATGAGTCAGGAAAACCTAAAAATCAGGAGAAGAGTCTATGTGGTCTGAGCCCAGCACCAAGCTCAAGCTCTGAACGGGCTCGGCTGGGCCCCTGAGCCGGGCTCCTGCCTCCTCCTGTCCCATCTCATGTCCCGTATTGATCCCCGAGGCTTGAACACCCCGCTGAGTTAGCAGTCCTCAGCTGAGACCCCCCCATGCCGCGGCCCAGGGGTGACACCCGTTAGCGTGAACATCTTCCCTCGGGTCGCGAGGTCTGGAGACCCAACCGTGCGCAGCAGCGTAATGCGCCGAGACGCTGCCGTGCACCGGCTGTGGCCGCAGGTCTGCTTGCAGTCTGTCGAAGCACGAGGAAAAGGAGATTTGCTGGCATTGCTTTCCCCCCGGTGCCTACCGCTGCCTATTTGCAGCAGAGTAGGAGTCTGGCAGAGCTGCAGCAGGCAGGGATGTGCATCCCTGTGCTTGGGAATCCCGCAGGGGTTTTTTGAAATTTCAACCACCGCTGGTTTAAGTGCATCTCAAGGATACCAGCATCAAGGGGGTTAATGAGCTTTTTTCTTAGTATCAACCTCATAGCTTTGGTGGCGCTTCCTTTTAAAGCCAGACACTGTTGTGATCCTTATCTCCAGCTGCTTTGCATGCGCTGGGGTTGTGGAGGATCTTGTCTAGGGTTTCCTTGCTCCTTGAGAGCCCAGCTGTGCTAGCCCTTGTGAGGACTTGTTTTCTCCAGCTAATTAGCCAGCTCTGGGCGCGCAGGCTAACGGCACGGCCCTCCCTTCTTTTCCAGTGGTCTGTAAGAAGAACTTGGACAGCACCACTGTTGCTGTGCATGGAGAGGAGATCTACTGCAAGTCCTGCTATGGCAAGAAGTACGGCCCCAAGGGCTACGGATACGGGCAGGGAGCAGGGACGCTGAGCACTGACAAGGGCGAGTCCCTGGGAATCAAATATGAAGAGTGAGTTTAACTCTTGTTTTCAAAACTGGGGCTGTTGTGGGCACCTTCTCTCCCACATCCATCTGCTTCGAAACTGGGGTTGTGGGCACCTTCTCCTCCACATCCGCGGTGCTTGGCTGTGCAGCCCAGGTTGAACTTCCAGCAGTTCCCCACCGGGACGGTGCTGTGGGCTGCCCTGCCTTTTTTCTCCTTGGGGGAAACCCCCTGAACCCTATTTGCAGGGTGGGATGGGGCTTGATGGGACGTGCCCCCATCGCCTGAGCACGCTGCCCAGCCCCTCCTAGCGTGCAGCCATGAGGCTCAAGTTTCCACAGGGCTCAACATCTTGTTCCTAAAGCTCCAGGCCCTTCAAAACTAGGCTGGGATTTGTGATCCCACAGCTCTTCCCTCCACCGTCCTGCTTGTGCAACCTTGATAACGAACTCCCTCCCTCCCACCCACAGGGGCCAGCCCCACCGACCCACCAACCCTAATGCATCCAGAATGGCCCAGAAGGTTGGAGGTGCTGATGGGTGCCCTCGCTGCGGTCAAGCGGTGTATGCAGCCGAGAAGGTGATTGGAGCAGGAAAGGTGAGAAGGGGGATGGAGGGGACGGGGCACGCTCATCCCACAGGTTGCTGTGTGGCAGGGAGACCTTCGGAGAGCTGGGCTTGGGGTCTGGTGGCTATGCTAACCTGGAAGCATGGCTCTAAAAAGAAGAGCTGGGCATGTCTGGACACCAGGTTCTCCAGGCTGCCTTGCTCTTCCAGACTTGTAGATGGGAGAGAAATACATATTATACTAAATATTCGGAGCACTGCTCAGCAGAGGTCACATGGGGCATCCCTGCTGCTGGATGCATTGGGAGGGTGAGCAGTGATGGGGGCCATGGCCACTACCACCGCTATTCTCCCCCCCCTGCCGCAGGCTGGGATGCCACAGCCCAAATCTGGGGCAGGGAATGAATTCCAGTGGTCAGCGCTGCCCGTAGGCAGGGCAAGGTGGTGGAGCTGTGGGCACGTGCTTGGTGCCTCCCTCTTGGGCTGTTCTGCTGGTGGACTGGGTCTGCTCGGGGTCATTCTGCAGCAGCTCTGGCGCTTCACCACTTCACCAGGGTCCTTTGTGTCCCGAGCCATGGCCTTATCCTCGCCCAGCTCTGGGAAGCCTCGTAGGGCATGGGGACACCTTCTGCTCCATCAGCCTTGGGACCCCGGGTGAGGCCCCTGCCTTGAAGCAGCCTTCCCTCCGAGGTCGGGCACATGCGCAGAGCTTGCCGAGGCGGCCGGGTCAGGCTGCCTGGCTTTGTGCTGCAGGGGACGGGATGGCCACACTGGGAAAGCCTCGCTGCCGATGCTGGGTCACCCCTGCCGTGCTCCGTCCTCCCTGGGGTCTCCGTGTTTGTCCTCCATCCCCACAGCAGGGGAAGGGGCACCTTGTCAACAGCAAAAGCCTCCCAGCATCACCATACCCTACCTGGCAGTGCAGGATTCGTGATGGACATGTCAGAAGCCAAACTTACCCTTAAAATCATGATCTGAGCTTCCTGGTAGGCTTCTGGGGTCGATGTTTATGGGGAACCAAAGCTGGCAAAGCAATTACCCTCAAGCAAGCCCGGAGAGGATTCCAGAGCATGCATTTCATGTGCTAATGTTTGCTGGATGACTCCATCTGCTACCTCCTCCTCCAGCCCCCTAATTTCACATTTTCTTCCAAAAAAGGTTTTGTGTTTTCCAAAGTGTTTATTTAAATTCCTCCCCGAGCAGCTCTGGCTACTCCAGGTCTGCTCAAAGGCTGTGAGCTCATTTATCCCCAGAGGACTGGCAGAGTCGGGGAGCCGGGGGGGGGGAAGTTTTATTTTTAAATACTGGCTGATTTCTGCATTCTTGGTATCTGTTTGCTGCCTTCCTTGGAGCTGTAGTTGTGCAGGGGCAGGTGTCCCAACCCTGCTGCTGCCCCCCCAGGCTAATGGACCACAGCAGGGGATCGCAGCTGGATAACTCAGATTTATTGTGGTGCTTCAGAGGGGGCAATCTCCAAAGAGGGGGGTGACTGCTCCTTATAAACCATGGTACAAACCATGGTACAAAGCAAACTGTGGTACAAACCATGGTACAAATCTTGGTACAAACCATTGTACAAGCGACTGCTGCGAGTGGGGGCGAAAGCTCTCTAAAAGCAGATGAAGATGGGCGCAGTGGCCACCCCTGATGCCCCCTCCCCGTATCTCCCCCCTGGGGCTGGGAAGGAAAGATGGGGAGATCTACTGCAAAGGTGAGTGCCACCCTCCCCGCTGCCTTGTCCTGGGCTCCGAAGGGTGGAGGCGGGAGGTGAAAACCCCCTGTGCCGGGAACCAGGATGGGATGGAGGTTTGGGGAGGGGGGTGGCCCCGCAGCCGTGTATGGGGGATTTCCCGCTGCGCCTGGGGCCTCTCTGCTCAACAAAAGCAGCAAACCCCGTCCTGTTCGGGCAGTGCCTGCTTCGAGAGGAGGACCCGCTCATGCTCGGCTGCCGGCCTTACCCGTCTGTCCCTCCCTGTCCTCTGCAGGTTGCTACGCCAAGAACTTCGGTCCCAAGGGCTTTGGCTTCGGTCAAGGCGCCGGGGCTCTCGTCCACTCGCAGTGAGGCACCGGGAGCCGGGCTCTCTGCTCGCCCAGGGCTTGCCCAGACCAGCCCGTGCTGCCCGATGCTTCCCGCACCCGCAGCGAGCATCCTCGCCGCCGTCGATAACCACCCGCTGCTGGGGGGACAGCTCGCACCCACCCGCAGCGAGGCCTCTGCCTGAACCGTTCTGCTCCGCCTTGCCCATCCCGCCGGGATGCAAGCTCAGCCGTGCCGTGCCACCGAGCAAGCAATAAACATCAAAGCTGACCCACGCCGGGCCTCGCCAGAGAGTTTATTCCCCGCCTGGGGCCGAGGAGGCGCACGGGGTGACCAGAGCTGGACGTCAGGAGGTGGAGGGAGGATGGGAAGCGTTTGCAATCCGTGTTTGCAATGAAAGCACACGGGCAGGAACTGCTCAGTGCAATGTGGGGGGGCCCAGCTGTGGGCAGCCAAGCTCTGGGGGTCGCCTGGGCCGGGCTCTGCCCCCGCTCCCGCCCTGGGGAACCATTTCCAAAGCAGCGGTTGGTGCTGGGAGGCCAGGACAGACCTTCTGGGTGCGTTGGTAGCACAACACCCCTGTATCGCCCCCCCCATCGGTGCTTTCACGTGGCACCTCTCCAAACAGGCGTGCCTGGCACCGCTGAATAATCAACACCTCCTCCCCTGCTCCCTGGGTTTTGGGCAGCTCCCTCCGTTGTTCAGCCGCCAGTTTGGCAGCTTCCCAGGTTTAATTCATTTTCAGCCGAACTCTTTACTTTCTTCCTGTGATTCTCTCGTTTGACCGGTCCCGCGTACCCCCAGGATCAGCCTCGCTGCAGCTCCCAGCTGCGAACTCCAAAGGGAATTTAGTTTTAGGGTTGGTTTGTTTTTTTTTTTTAATGTTATAAGCTTCATGGTTGAGTAAATGAGATGGGTGGTGTTTTGAGGAGCACAACAGAGGCAGAAATCCTTTCGTGGGGCAGGATTTGGGCTCCTTCAGCACTTTCTCCTGTCCATCACCACCCTTGGTTGCACAGGACATTCTGGAAGCAGAGCTGGGGAGTATGCTCTTTAAACACCTCCAGAAACCCTCCTGCCAGGTTTCCCAGCCTAGGACCCAGGTTCTTGCTGCCCCCATTGCTCTGGGGTGTGTGGCTGGGTTTGGTGAGGCACGAGCAGATGGCGTCAGGGTGCAGAGCAGCCAGCCCAGGCTCAGGGATGCGGGAGCGGGTCAGGAGCCGGCTCACGTCCTGCCCTCGGTGCAGGGACCAAACCCTGGACCCCTTGTTTGGCAGAGGCGCTGCTCCCCGCGGAGGCGTGGGGCTTAGGAAGCTCCCGCTTGCTCCCTGTGCCGCTGCGGCATCTCAGCTGGATGTGCCACGGGCAGGGATTGCGCCCAAGCAGCGCTCTGTAGGCAATAAAGTGAGAACACGTCTTGCTCCAGACTTGCTTCAGAGAAAAGCTTTCGTCCCGTTCAGACCTCCTTGCCAACCGCTTTGGGCCAGAAACAGCAAAGTGACCCCATTTGGTAGCCGAAGCGTTGCTGCCCTGTCCCCGCTGTTCCTGACCGGGCTCTGCTCCTGTCCCACAGTCCTGGCACAAGTCCTGCTTCCGCTGCGCCAAGTGTGGCAAAAGCCTGGAGTCCACCACCCTGGCCGACAAAGATGGGGAGATCTACTGCAAAGGTGAGTGCCACCCTCCCCGCTGCCTTGTCCTGGGCTCCGAAGGGTGGAGGCGGGAGGTGAAAACCCCCTGTGCCGGGAACCAGGATGGGATGGAGGTTTGGGAGGGGGGTTGGCCCCGCAGCCGTGTATGGGGGATTTCCCGCTGCGCCTGGGGCCTCTCTGCTCAACAAAAGCAGCAAACCCCGTCCTGTTCGGGCAGTGCCTGCTTCGAGAGGAGGGGAGGCCCCCCTCATGCTCGGCTGCCGGCCTTACCCGTCTGTCCCTCCCTGTCCTCTGCAGGTTCCTACGCCAAGAACTTCGGTCCCAAGGGCTTTGGCTTCGGTCAAGGCGCCGGGGCGCTCGTCCACTCGCAGTGAGGCACCGGGAGCCGGGCTCTCTGCTCGCCCAGGGCTTGCCCAGACCAGCCCGTGCTGCCCGATGCTTCCCGCACCCGCAGCGAGCATCCTCGCCGCCGTCGATAACCACCCGCTGCTTCGCAGCACGAG